CCAAACTCAATACATGCATAGAAAAATGGTCGATCCACAAAGCGCCCTTGCTGAGCCTGGCCTCAGAGCGGACATCCTTCTCGTGAAACAGCTCGATGGCCTTTCAAAGGTGCTTCGCACAACGAGCCTCCGTTATCCTCCGTTGTAGGCCTTGCAGTGCCCTGCCTTCTTGGCCTCCTCCGTACTCTCGAAATTGACAAAAGCGAACCTGACATGTGAATGAGCGTTCCTCAACACTCCTTCCTTTTTGCCTTGGTCGATAGAGGGTGTCCCGTCAGCTTTCCGGATGTTATTGCCAGCTCGAGAAAAAGCATTGGCTGTGCGAGTTCAGCCGAGTGAAGTAAAGTAGTACTCTGAAGATTGAAGGGCATTTTTTGGGGGGGAGGGTGGCTTTCCTTGATTTAGTATCTGACTGCAGTTGGTGCCATGCCCAATACACACATTTCGACGATTGCTCAAAAAGGACAGTTTGCCTTTAAGTCCCCTTGCACAACAAGCAGAGACAACTACACACCGGTGCCTGCGTGACTTTGCGTCTACAACGAAGTGCGTCGAGGTAATGCTGCCAGCCTCCAGGTAAGGCACTTAGCAGTAATCAGTAGGCACCGCAGTCTATGCAAAAGCTCCAAAGAAGATAAGTTGAGCTAAAAAAAGAAGTCGAGGTGTGCAAGATGTCTTGGCCTCACCGAAGACAGCCTTGATCTTATCCTCATCCCACTCCTGCGCAGGTGTTGCTGGAAGGTGTCTGCTTGGAGAACATAGACTCCAGCCTCGGGGAAGTTCTTGATGTACAAGTTGGTGAAATTCCTTGAGTTTCCAAACTGTGCATTCTCAATTCGCTCATGTCGAGATGGTCAAAGCTTACGATTAGGTAGCAAGCCCTCAATGCTTTGGGGAACAGATGGCAAGCCCAACCAATAAGTGGTGGCTGCATGCCGACAAGCAGATGGGGGCATCAAAACGCAAAGTCTTGCCATGTTGCTTGTCATTACTGCTTGTGAGAGGAAGCCATGTCTGCGCATATGGTACGCCCGGGGGACATAGCGCGTGAGGACAACACAGCATGCTGACACTCGCCTGCCTTACTGTGCCTCAACCAGAACACATTCTGTCGCTTTGACCGCTTTGCTGTAGCATGTATAGGGGTAAAAGACACCATCCTGCTGCAGCTACCTGAAAGGGCTGAGGCGCTCTGTGACGAAAGTTTCTAGGAGCTTCTCCGCTGACCCCTAGTCGTCTGCGTCTGGCGGTACTTTATTGCCTGCCTGAAGCCCTTTCCCGTCTCATGCTTGATCCGAAGACTTTCGCTACTTGAGAAAGTTCTCTTAGAGCTGCACAGCCCGCAGAAGGCAGCTCAAGGCAATTGCTGAACTGTGTGCATGGTCCCGAGTTTGAAGATGACCAACTTCATGCAAGAGTGCCACCCCAAAGCCACACTGCAACGTAGCTGCAAGCAAGCTGCTGGGCTGCTGGGTTGTCGCGCTCATCTCGCTTGACAAAGCTGCTCACAGACACTGTCTGCTCGCCAATCTGCATTCCATTCACTCCTGAGCATCAAGCAGTTGACTTGCTCTGCCCATGTGCTGATGAAAGCTACAGCAACGTTTCATGCGACAGGCTGAGTCTAGCGAACTTAGTCGTGGACGTTCAATGGCCTGCTTCGCGGCCTCTTCGGTCTCGTAGTGCACAAAGCCATANNNTAACCTGGCAAAGAGATCCCCATGCCATCCCGATCCAAAACTCACGCAAGGGCACCGCAACCTGCAGGGCGGTTTCTTAGCAAGACGAGACGTTCAGAAAACTATGTTCTTGTAAGATTCAGAATGACTCTGGGTTCTGTTTAGCGCAAGCGACTTTCTCCTTTGCCTACATTTATAATCCGGATCACATCCATTCCACATCATCTTTGAGTCAACATTTCCGTCACATGACACAAGCAATTGTACATCTGTAAAGCTAATACCTTGTCAGCACGTGCAGATAAGCTTCACTGCATTCGCACGGCAAGAGCTCACGCTCCGCCTCTATACTCCGTTTACTGAGGTAACTAGAACTAAACCAAATAAATATGTTCCGCAAGTGCAGTTGCAAAGTATCAGGAAGGGTGCACACTGTGTCAGGGCGAGCATCGCAAGACACAAGCAGCCCCAGCCTCTGGACTTTCCAGTCGAATCGCACGCCACCTCGACTTGAAACTTTCTGCTACAGTAAGTCTTCGTTCAATAAGCAGCAGGCCCCGTAAACATGCTGAGAGCAAGGTGCCGCGTCTAATATGCTCGGCTTCCTAAGGTGCCGGCTTTGCAGGAAAGGATGTTGCCGAAGAGACTGAAAGTGTCATACAGTGCCTTTCGCTTTCAAGAGGTCTTTGCCACGAACAAGAGGCATACCATGCGGTGCTATGCAGGCTTTCACTGTGCTTCTGGCCTTGTTGTCGATGGCCTTGTCCAAGTTCTTCACGAAAACGTTTCCCAGGCCACTCTTACGCAGGCTCGGATCCCTGCAGGGCAGTTCAGAACTCTCAGACTCTTCCTTTTCAGCATTTTTCTAGCCGGCCTCTGGCTCCACATGATGCGGCATGCGCGTCCCTGCAGATTCCATCGACTGCAGAAGGCTTGACTTGCGTCAGACAGGTTTTTTTTTGCTGCACGCAAGTGTCCGCCACAGGTAGCCAGGTCACGCTCAGAATGTTTCTTGCCTGATGTTTTGCTTTCTGTGTGCCGCGTGGTCCTGACACTTAGTCATGAAAAAAGGCCGAGCAGGCAGAGCCCAAATGGTTTACTTCAAGCATCGCCCCTTCAGATTGGGCACGAAAGGGGTAGGTTGTTTGGACTGTCGCCTTTCCGTTGGAACATCTGAAACCCTGGATTTTTCTGCAAAGCTCCAGAACATGTACAGTCGAACTTACTTGGCAACCGCAGTAGAATCACAGGCATTTTCTGGGAGCCGATGCTTCTCACAGAAATCTTCAATTTGTGTCGTAAAGAGACCCCTTTGCCACAAAGCCCTTCCAACACCTCTGAAGCATTGCAGTACAGCAAACCGAATTTTCCTTTGAAGCATGACGCCTCCCCACACATATCCTACTTATTAGAGAACTCACAGAATTGCCGGTATCTGCTGGAGAAAACAAAACTGTTGTTTAGAACGTGATTTTCGTGTCGGAACCGGTGGCGCTCCTATGTATAGAACCTTGACTTGCTCTTCGGCTTGCCGGCAGCAGACGGAATGCCCTGGGACTGCTCTTTTTGCTCCTGTCCTGCCCCCTTTTCCAAGCGTCTGAGAAAATCTGCAAGAACACGCGGAACAAAGAACAGAAAAGGTGCAAAAGACACAGCGCAGTGGAGCACGTGAAAAAATGGGTTTCAGGACATTTCAGGCAGCAAGGATCAGGTGGAAGGCAGTTGCAGGAAATCAAAGCAGGACTTCGACTCAAGAAACCAAGTCTTCAAGTTCAAGACCTGAGAGTACAAGGTGCTTTCAGCTCACCGCAACTGTGCGCAAGGCAGATCTGGCCAGGCCTTGATGCCTGAGTAGTTCAGTGTGTCCAGGGCGCGCTCGGCATCAGAGACGCTGTGAAAGTTCACGTAGCCGTAGCCCAATGACCTTCCAAAGAACGTCTCTCGATAAGCTCAAAGCTTTTGCAGCATTAGAGACTTGTGGATGCAGCAAGCACTCGAGCCTCCGAGACACGGTGTCGCGGCATACGCGAATCGATGCAACCGGACCAACTGAATTGAAGATCTCGTAGAGCATGGCCTTCACAGGCCAATCAGGAACAGCACCAGCAAGGCAAGCACTGGATCATGCGGCTGCGGCCTCTGTCACATCAGGATGCAGGTCGCCCACATACAAGGAGGCAAACTGTGGCACAGCCGCCATCTTCAATGAAGGTACGCTCCGTCCTTCAATGACTGTCTGGAGGGACACAGCTCAGTGCAAATGCGAGAAGATCCAGTCTCCTCAAGCTCTGTGAGATAGCAGTTGTAAACGAATCCAGGCCTCAGCTTGCAGAAAGCACTATATGTAGACAAGCGCCGTGTAAAAATGCATTATGGACTGCTGACAAGAGGCAAAACCTGGGAGCTCTTTATGCTTTTTTGGATTATGCTATTTTTATGGTTTTCAGCCAGGCCTTGAGCCAAACAGCCGCAGCAAGGAGCTAGGCTGGTTCAACCGCAAGCGAGAAGGAGAGCTGGCAACAGAACGCGGAAACCCCAGCTACGCCCGGCTAAGCCATGACAAGCTCCAAGAGCCTCGCCCCAGCAATCCCTTCCGGTTCTTCTGCCCGGTCCTGCAAGCGACTCAGGCACAGCACGGCGCAGCCCAAGCCTTCTGGATGGCAGGGCAGGGGCCTACTCATTGCAAATCGCGTCTCGTTGCTGCTACGCCTGCGGAAAGATGAGAAGTGCCGGTAAGCTGCACCCAGGTCGTTCACATTTTGTGAGAATTTCTCAACATCGTTCCCTCCTCTCCCCAGTGCTGGTAGGCATGCCAGGCTCTTGCCTGTAGCTGCCTCGGATTTGAAAAAGCTGTGCAACCCAAACTGTTGAGGACTCAGAGCTCCGCACCCATTCCGACTGCCAGCAGACGTCGACGACTGAAAGCACCGAACATGAGTCATCAAGCGTCGCAAACCGTCACTGCCCTAACGCCATGCGCAGCCTTCCCTACGGCTTCCTGATCCCTTCGATCTTGCTTCTTCCCTGGCAAGGTGCCTGGCGCCACTTTGAGCTCCTGTCTAGAGGTCCACCACGAAGTCGCAGAGGACGGCGAGAGCTAGAGTCTAGAGTCTTAGAGTCGTGATGCGCATGCGCAACTTGGCTTGTTCTTGCATCTTTTTGGAGTGTGCAGGATTCATCTGCTAAATGGCTTCATCTGGACTTGGAGGTGCCTGTGGCAAAAAATGCCGCCCGGAAGCTTACCACTCGTCATGTCCCTTACATATCCAAAACACAAAATACCATCTATCACCCTTTGTTATTGGAGGTAGACTGAAGAGCGAGCAGTTCCAAAATGGTTTGGATTTGAAGCCGGTCTGCATGGTGCCGGTACCTGTGTCAAATCAAACAGGTTTGATCAAAGGAGATGTGCGCGGTGAGCGGATGAAACTTCTGACATGATATATGTGCAGGAAGCCGATTCCCTGATGGTTTGCTTCCCTGTCAAGCACGTGCAAGTTCCGAAGGACAGCTTTTGTGCCTGCATTGAGAGAGATCTGCTGATTCCGCATAAGCTCCGGGATGCTCAAACCCCAGCAACATGAGCTGCTTTCATAGGATCTTATCCTTCGCATTCCTTCGCTATGCCATCCCCGCAACCTGTCATGAGATCAGGTGCTTGGCTCAGCGGAGCTGGCCAGGAACAGTCGGCCTTACAGCCTAAATGCAAAAGCTCCGCTCAGCCACCACGATTGTGCCAAACGGCTGAGTCTGTTGCACATACAGGTCTCCAGCACTTGCCAAAGCCAGCAATGCTGTGAACGTCAGTGCTGCTGTGGCTCGTTCAGCTTCTCCAGGCGGGACCAACTTCTCGAACTCAGTGCTGTGGCCATCACGCTGCAGGCAATCCAGAATGATTTGACCGATCTCTGCTGTGCGGTCATCCTGCACCTCCACATTGGCGTGGTCGGGACCATTGTGCATAAGGTCATCATGCATTGCCACGTCAATGTCCGCTTGCTGCGCAGCAAAGGAGCCATTTGTGTCCTGCAAATGCTCGGCGGACAAGGGCGGCATGTCAGACTTGTCGTGGGCCTGGTTGTGAGCATCAAAAGGTGGCAAATCACAAGCTCCCCCAAGCAAGGATTGCACTTGCGGAAATTCGCCTTGGTCGCTTCCGTTTCCACTTGCATAATACATGGCCATGTCAGGATCTGCTACTTGGCGCAACCAGAATCCAAAGTGATCAGCCTCCTGAAAGCAGTCCTCCATCATCTCTGCCTGGTGAACAGCAGCAAGTAGCTCACCGTGACACATTTCACAATCTGCTGTGTGTTTCTAGCATGCACAAGTTGGTCAGTGCAAGGCACTATATCAAGCATGTTGACTTAGGTTGGAAAAAAAACTCCTCCTTTTGGAGACCTGTTACAATTGCGCACACAGTCACGGTCCTAACAGGCCAAGCAAAACGCGTCAATGCCTGCATGCATTCTGTGACATTCATTCTACCGCAGGTGCCTCTGTACCAAGCTTGAAAATAACATTCTTTCCTCAGTTGAATGTCGTTCTTCGGAATAGCTTCTCCGGCTTTGCGCTCCAGGACAGCTGCCGTTGGCCCGTAAAGCTTCCACCAACCAAGCACTGCATGTATTCCCTAAACTGCTTATGCTGAACAACACTGGCCGCTGCATTACTAGCATTGCTTTGGCTGTGGTTTGTGCCAATGCTAGTACTGTTAAGATCACAAAGCAACCCTGACCACTACTGCCAAAATGTGCATTCTCCTCATGATTGCGATTACTACCACGACTGCTGCTGTCCTCATTGATATGGCTATGTATGTAATCATGATTGCTTCTTCTTCTTCTGCTGCATCACCTTCTTGTTCCATCCCTAAACCCTGAACCTCGAAACCCTTGGTGTGAAGCTCAAACCCCGAAAAACACCATTTGCCTAGCTCCAAAACTGTTGGGGCCTTAAACATCGTCAAAGTGTATGCCCAGATTAAGTGGTCTGGCAGCTTGGGAGTCTACAATGCTTTAACACATAACATGCTTGAAATGCACTCAGTCG